TTTTTCTGCATAATTTTGAAGGACTTGATTGGAAGATAACTAGTTCCTACCCAAAATTACATTCAATTGAGATAAAGGTAAACAAATTAAATTTACAAGAAATTTCCTATTTTCAATGAACAAAGGACAATCTAGACAAATTTTATTGGTGATTACAGACTTACTCGTGGGAGTTGAAACAATCAAACTAGTATTTAGAAAAGAAGTCGACAATTCAAGGTGTTGGACACAATAATTGGAAATGAATGAATGAGTTGTGCCTGAATCATACAGTACATTTAAAGTTTTGTCTTTAATGAAGCACATACCTTAGATCAAATCATTATTCTGAGAGGCTTCAGTTCCATTCATGGTCTACACTCTTCCTGTTGTTGGAGGTCTTATTTTTGGTGCAGAAGGATTAAAATTTGGTTTTTGTTGTCGACATTCAAAAAATATATGACCAGGTTTTCCACACTTGAAATAGACAAGTTCTTTAAGATGATAATCTTTAGTATAATGATCTTGTCCACATTTAAAACACTTGAGCTGATTATTTATACGGTTATTAAAATTTCCTGTAGAAAGTTGACTAGGTTGGGATCTCCATTGGGGACGGTTGTAGGGTTTTCCTTCATTTTGTCTCCTTTTATTTTGTTGGGGTCCAAAATATTTTGGTTTACCATTTTGATGGTTTTCAAAATCTTCCAACAATCTGCACTTATGAATAAGCGTAGGAAAATCAGAAATGTCTAGTATCCCTACTGCTTTTCTCAATTCAGGCCTAAGTCCATTCTCAAAATTTATATACTTCATTTTTTCATTAGGGTGATAAAAGAATGCAAAGTATTTTCCTAACTCTTCAAATTTATAGACATATTCTCCTACTATCATATCTCCTTGCTTTAATTACATAAACTCTATTTCTTTTGTCCTCCTCACATCATTGGAAAAATATTTTTCTAAAAATTTTGTTCTAAACACCTCCCAAGTAATGATTATTTTTCTTCCTTCTAGTAATCTCCTGGTACTATCCCATTAATATTCAGATGTAACATCCCAATTTCTGTAATTAATTATTTGCTTAAGTTCCTACAAATTATTATATAAATATTATGTAAACTTTTTATGAGAAGAAAAGATATATTAAAAAAAAACCTAGAGTATAGGTTGGGGATTGTATAATAAATAAGTATGACTTTATGAAGAACTTCACTTAAAATTTTCTATTACTTTGATATATTACTAAATTAGATAAGAAATTATGATTAATAAATGTAATCTGGAAGGGGGTTATATTTAGCCTCTCCTATCAACATAAACACAACGTAATTCACATTTTGGTCATCAGGACAATTCATAACTTGAAATATTTTTTTCAGTTCTTTAATCCATAATTCAGTCGTTCTGGGTTATAACCTCCAGAAAATTGCGGAGGTTTCTTTCTCCTAAATTCAACTAAACCTTGTGATTCATTCGTTCTTTCAGGTCTTTGGTTCCTTAATAATGCAGCGACCATATCTAGGATAGCTTGTAGCACTATTGTCAACTTGTTGTTCCTCCTATTATTTTCCATCTAGAATTATATAAGTTAGGATTCATAAGATCTCATGATAGACTCATTTCACAGGTCACACATGAAACGTTGCTCTGATACCATCTAATGTGGCGTCTTTTTTTTCCCCACATTTTTAACCATATATTAAGAGATTACTACTTTCTATTAAGTCTTGACAAAAGTAAGATGAGATTAGGGATGACAAAACGGGTCAGCCCGTCCCATTTTGGCTCATCCCGCCTTTGGCTTGCCAAAAATGGGGTGGGACGGGCTGACCCGCTATAGTCATGACGGGTTGTAGACCTTGGCCCGCTCAGCCAAGGAGCGGGTTGGTGGGCTGACTCGCCATAATTTAAAAAAAAATAATTTATTTTTTTAAATCAAAATATTTAATAAATTTAATAATAAGATTATTATTTGCTTGTTAATAATTCATATATATATATATATATATATATATATATATTATTTCAATTTAATAATATAAATCAACACATTATTTTAAGAAATTATAATTTAGAACAATAATAAAATTTACATAATAATAAATAATAACAAATATATATATATATATATATATATAAATAAAGTTTTAAAACTTATAAAATTTATATTTTTTATATTGAAAAATTCAAATACCTATATCTTTTTTATTTGATAAAACTTCACATTATTCTCGCTTGAGTAATTCTTACACCTTTAATTCAAGTCATAAGAATAAGAATAATCGGTGTTTAGGATGAATAAGGAGAATAAGAGAGAGAAAACTTGTGTTTCGAGTAAGGAAAATATTTTCTACGTGAGAGTATAACTTTTTTAATTCTCTTTTTAAAACTTTTAACTTTATATATTATCTTTATAATTAACTTTATTACAATAAAAATTATTTTTTTATTAATTAGGTGGGTCGTGAGGCGACTTACCCCATCCTGCGGGTTGGCGGGCTTGGCGAGGCGAGCTAGAGCGAGCTGACGAGCTAAAAACACCAACCTGACCTGCCATATTATGGCAGACTGGCGAGCCGGCCCGCCGGGCTTGACCCGTTTTGTTATCCCTAGATGAGATAAATATGTACAAAGATGTGAATTTTACAAGTTTACATTAGTTTTATATCGAAACAATTATTACAATTGACAAAAAATTTCTTATAACGAGTGGTTGGATGATACATATCTTCCATCTTGATGCTCTCATCTATTTATATTGATATTTTAGTTGTAACATGCACAAGAAATAATAATAAGGAAGTGAAAACAATTATCATTTAAAATAATATCATCTTATAATGATATATAAAATATATTTTTCAACTTGCTCAACTTATTTCATTTATTCCATTTATGAAAATTTAAATTAAATTTGTAGTGACAAGTGATGATAAATGAGTCCAATTTTAATCACTCTCAGAGTGATATTTACTCATTTCAATCCCCAAGGTCCAACCTCCATCTAGAATATCATCAAATATTCATAAATAGATATTATTATTTGAAAATAATTAAATAATATAAATATACATTAATAAATAGGATTAGTGCATAACTGGAGATAAAATAAACAAATAGGACCGAGTATATAACTTAAGATAATTAAAATAGGACCAGTGCAAGACTATAGATAAAATAAAATAAACAAATAGGATCAGTGCAAGACTGTAGATAAAATAAAATAAACAAATATGACCAGTATGTAACTGGACATAAATAAGACCAGTGCGTAATTTGAGATAAAATAAACAAACATAAAGCAGGACCAGTACGTAACTTGAGATAATTAGATTAGGACCAGTGCATGACTATAGATAAATAAATAAATATAAAACACAACCATTACGTAACTGAAGACAAATAAATATAAATAATAAATAGAATGAAGTTAGGGACACCTCACTCTACAATAATAAGTAAAAATAAAGAAGAATATAATAAATGTCGCATTCCCTTACCTTAATAATTTAAGATATTGTACAAAAACTTTTCTTTAAAATTATTTTTCTTTCTTTCTCTCTTTCTTTTTCTCTCCCTTTCTTTCTCTCCCTCTCTCTCCTTCCTCTCCCCTTCTTTTTTCTTTCCTTCCCTCTCTCTCCTCTCTACCCCTTTCTTCTCCCTTTCTCCCTTTTCCCATAACCTCTATTTATAATCATACTTAATTAATTTTTTTTACTTGCATTTAATTCAAGAGATAAGATAAGATTATTATCTCTTAAAAGAGATAAGATAATTCTTATCTCTTAAAAGAGATAAGATCATGTATTTTTTTTTCAATAATCAATTTTATTTTATAATAATTAATTAACTTGATTTTAATAATTACTAAATATCTTTTTTTTTTAATTTAAACTATAATTATTATTTTAATATATGTATGTATATATATGTATATATATTTTATAATAACTTAACAAAATATATATATATATATATATATATATATATATATTATTTATTTTTACATGAATGAGTTTTATTTTAAAATTATTGAAATTATCAAAAATATTATTTAATATATTGTATTTGAAAAAATTACATAATCAATTTTTAGATATTATATTAGATTAAAATTTTTGATCTATTTTAAAATATAAATCAGATTATATTATTATTATTTTTTATTTAGACCAAATCAAACTAAATTAAGCCGTTTTCACAGCTCTAACAACAATTTTTGGACATCCCATCTTTTATCCCATCATAATCTAGTGAGATGAAATATTAATTAAAAATATCGAAAGACTATAAAGCCAACAAATTCATGCCACTATAATACTCATAAAATCCGATTATTCACTTGAAATCTATAAATAGAAATCATGTAATCACAGTAACTAATAATGAAAAGTGTAATTAAGTATCTAATTTAACACAAAAACAAGATAAAGAAAATGAGAAGTAAAAGGTAAAAGGAAAAATAGTTGGCCTAAAAAAACTCAGGAAGAAAAGTATAAAAGTGAAAAGGTTAAAAGGGGCTTGAAATATTCTCTCTATGAAATATGCTCCATATCGTGCGTGCTATCCACTTTCCACGTGATTCCACGTATACCATATACCATATACACTTCATCATGATTCAATTCCTTGTTATTTTGCAGAACATGTCCTTCTTGAAAAGAAGAGGGAGGAGTCATTAACTTTCCCAGGGTCAACTTACGAGCCAAAAGCAGAAAAAGGAAACTAATTTCATATTGATTTTCCAGAATAACCACATTTATATTATTTTCTTCAATGCATTAAATCTCTCATTTTCTTGCCTAATAATAAACAATCAAATGAGACCCCACAAAGGCACAAACCCAATCATAATAAATGCTCTTCATTCACACAATCTCACACCCTCTTACAAGTCTCTCTAATCCCATAATTTCCCAACCCATATCCTCATTTTCTTCATCTATATATGTTCACATCATTGCAAGCTGCATCCATCAACCCCTTCAACGTTTTCCACCCTCAGAACTGATCATATCATGAGTTTTCATGATACACCAAACACAGGACTTGGTCTCGGTCTCGGTCTTGGCCTTGGTCTTGTTACCTTCCATGATCAATCAGAGAGTTGCATGAGGAGTGATGATGACCCCTTGAGAGAAAGCCACACGATCAAAACGGTGGAGAATCCATCAAAATTTAACAAGACATACCCTTCACTGACATTAGCACCACCAGATGATGATGATGAAGAAGTGAAAAATGATCAACCAAGTTCCAAGACCGAGTCCTATGAATATTTTCGGCCCCAAGTTTCTTCTCCTAGTGTGGTGTCTTCATTTTCCAACTCCTCTAGCATCAAGAGGGAGCGAGATCAGGCCTTGGGAGAAGAATTTGAGGTAGAAGTAGAGAAAGTTCCAACAAGAGTAGGGGATGTTGATGAAGATGGCAACCCCAGAAAGAAACTTAGACTCACCAAAGAACAATCAGCAATCTTGGAGGAAAACTTCCGAGAGCATTCCACTCTCAATCCGGTACCTTAATTAAACAATATTTATAGATAAAAGTATTATTATGCAGTTTTCATAAGTTTAATTGTTATATACTGATATAATGTAAAATAGTTTTACATGATCAATCAATAGAAAAATATTAGTGATATGGTGATATGACTTTTACAGTAAATAATGGAAAAGTCAATATATATATATATATATATATATATATATGATAATATGTGATTGTTTGATAAAACTGTTATAAACTATCAGTTTATAGCCTTTTTTTGGATAATTTTTCTTTAATGATCATTAATTCTTTTATATATTTATGTTTGCAAATGATTTCTTTTGTTCACTGTAAACTTTTCTTAACATGATTTTTATAATTCCTTTGTCATTTTCCTCAGAAGCAAAAGCAAGAATTGGCAACGAAGCTGAATCTGCGAACGAGACAAGTAGAGGTGTGGTTTCAGAACAGGAGAGCCAGGTCACTTACTAGTACCATATTTTACTTTTCTTCACCTTGTTTCCCTGGTATTAGAACTTAGTGTTTAGATAGAATCATAGGCACATTAAAAAAATAAAATACCTCTTTATTATTTTTGGAGTAATTTGATATTTTCTCATTTATTTATTATTACTATTATTATTATTATATAAAAAAGAAAAATTTAACTATACTTAGAATAATATTAAGAGAATTGTTTTACTTTTACTTTCCAGAATTATTTAGTTTGATGATTAAGTAATTTTCATGAAGAGCAAATAAAGGAATAGAGAGTTATTCTTATAGTAACTTAATTAATGTATATTAATTATTATATGAGAAGGGATTAATTTATTTTTAAATTAATTTTCAGAAAGTTATTTCCTATTCTAATATTTTATTTTCTTTTAATTATAAGACACGTTTAAGACACGTTTAATTATTATATTAATGGAAATGAAAGATAACTAAAACAAATTAGTAAAGTTTCCGTAATACTATTTAACTGAAATATTTACATTATATTACATGAATTTTATGTGAAATAAAATGTTAAACATTTAAATTTCAAACAGGGTTAATGTTTTCCATATGAAAATATTTGTGGTTTAATAGATCTGATTTCAAATAATATTTGTGCATTTTAGTGGATAAAATGGAATAATAATCATTAATTAAAAAATGGGAGTTAATATCATATTTTGTTATATATTTTATTTATTACAATTTTTTTTTATAATTTTATTCTGTAAAATGAAATTTGATGGATTGGTTAATGAATTTTGAGCCAGTGATTTTAAGCTAAGGTTAGATATTAATTTTTCTTCCTTTTTCTTTTCTTTTTTCCATTTTCTAACATAATTTGATGCACAGGACAAAGCTAAAACAAACTGAATCAGACTGTGATCTATTAAAGAAGTGTTGTGACACTCTATCAGAAGAAAACAAGAGACTGCAAAAGGAGCTTCAAGAACTGAAGTCAATGCAAGCAATGCCAGTTCCTCTTTACATGCAGATTCCAGCAGCCACACTTTCCATATGCCCTTCTTGTGAGAGAATATGTGATAGCAACAATGGTGATGATGAAAATAACAACAACAATGCTTCAAACTTACTTATTAGTTCAAAAACACATCATCATCATCATAATCACTTTTACAAAAGTAACTATCCATTCTCCCACTCTTCATCTGCAGCATGCTAGTTATAGCAAGCTAGGAAGGCAGTTATATGTTCAAACCAAGGCTTGTTCTTTGGTGATGATAATTTGTAGTAATTACTATACTATATATAAATATAATTGAAGATATAGATGATTAATATTAGAGATCAATCACCACATGCTTTCTTATAATGCATGTACGTGGTTAATTTTATATATATATATATATATATATATATATATATATATATACTTCAAAAATAGCTAGAAAGATAAATTCATATAGGGATTTTTCTAATTTGTTGTAATTTAATTATATATATGTAAGATATTTATGGCCTATGGTTACCTTATACATGACCAACAATGAAGGAATATCATATGGATCCATCATCATATTTGAATGTCATGAATGATTTGCTTACGACCAGAAACTATGGAATAATCTAAGGTTGTGCAAGAATCATAATGTTAAACGCAAGTTGTTTTCAAGATATTTCTGTTCAAGTTTCTTATCTTACTTCAGGATTTTTATTTTATCTTTTTTTTTATTTCAATATAAATTATAAGAGTATGATCTTATCGTTGATGTATTCAATTTTTTAGGATATCTTTAATGTGTCTTAATATTTGTAAAAGGTTTATAATGATAAAAATATGTTATTTTTTCAATATGAGAATTTAAAATAAGAATACACCTCTACATGATTCAATTATTGAAATATTCTCTTAAATTAATGTCTCTTTAATAAATATTAATAAGGTAATGTATTAACACCGTTTAATATCATAACAAAGAGACATTATTATCATTAAATATGTATCTTTATTACTAAGATATTTATGGTAAAAAGTTTATAAATTATACTATTTTCACATGTGTTAGATCATTTGCTACTTTGATAGAAAAAAAAAAACATACACTTGTTACTGAATTAAACATCTAAGTGTTTTTTCAGATGAACTTTCCTCTCGTTCTTGGAGCAGCACAATTCATCTCACTCGGTAGGATACTTATTCGTGATCAAATTGAAAAGTCTGAGTTATTTGTGGTCAAAAGTAAACTAAGTTTGAGCTGTCGATTTACTTATTTATCAATTTATTTGTATCCTTTTTAGTAAGAATATTTTGTCGTCCACCGTGAGACTCGTTAAAATATATACCAAGCCACAAACTAGACAAATTTATCATCACCATCATGAGTGTCAAGGACATCATCAACCATTTAAAAGTTCATCTAGAGGAGATGCAAAGAAGAAATGATAAGAAATTCAACATAATGGAACAAAGACACAAAGAAGAAATGGAAATTTTAAGAAGTGATATGCAGAGGTAGAAAGACAAATTCACCTTCTAACTCGATCCCTTTCAAGGTACTACCAATCACAATCATGGTATTGTTTACCTCAACACGAAGGTGAAACCCATGATGAAGGTGAATCAAGTTGTCGAGATAACAGAAAAGAGGATGTTTCAAAGTTGGATGGAAAGCAGAGCAAGATGGTGGAAAATGAACCAAAAATCAGAAAGAAAAAATTCCACCTATATAGAATTGGTTTTACATATTCAAGAGATGGAAGTAGATCCTCAGCAAGAAACTAGAAGTGATCAACCAAACTTTGATGAGCTAATAACCAAACTACAACTCGGGAGCAAGCCTAGAAAAAAAACCCAAATTGGATAGGTGATAGAGGTCAGGATTCAAAACCAAATCGAATATATACTTCATCAAAATGCTAATTTATTTGCATAGAGTGCGACCGACATCCAAACTTAATTTTATGTGTCATAAACTTGCTATTTCACTTAATGCAAAACCTATTGCTTATAGAGAAAGAAAACTAGGTGAAGAAAGACAATTGTGCAACAAGAAGAAGAAAAATTATTAAAAGAAAATGATCACAAATGTGTGTTGGTTTTACAAACTAGAATAACACTATCCATTAGTGAATATAGATTGGTTAGTCGATAACACCTCGGGATATGAAATTCCTAGCTTTTTAAAAGCTTACTCAGGGTATAATCAGATACAAATGTATCCACCAGATGAAGAGAAAACAACTTTTATCACAGAAGAAGCTAATTTTTGTTATAAAGTTATGTCTTTCGGGTTAAAAAATGCTAGTGCAACTTATAAAGATTATTGGGTAAAGTATTCAAAAACCTCGTAAGAGATGTCATGGAGGTTTATGTAAATGATAACCATTGATCATCCACAACATTTATAAAGTTTTTTCCAAAGTTAGGAAGCATAATATGAGATTAAACCCAGTGTGTTTGGAGTAGGAGGAGGAAAATTCCTTGGATTTATGATAACCTAAAGAAGAATAGAAGAAAACCTTGATAAATGTGAAGCCATTTTGAATGTGCAAAATCCTAAAAATATCAAGGAGGTACAATGACTAAATGGAACATTAGTCTCAATAACACGATTTATTCCTAAGTTAGCTGAAAAAGGCAAGGTCGTTTTTCAAGTTATTAAAGGCAGCCAAAAAATTCGAATGGAATGATGAATGTAGTGATATGTTTCGAGAAATTAAGGTCAATATAGCTTCCTTACATATTTTATCATGCCCTACCCCAAAGAACCATCTTTTCATATGCTTATCAACCTCAGATTTAGCCATAAGTTCGATATTAGTAAATGTCGAAAACATTCATCTTGTATATTTTATTAGCAGGATTTTACAATCAGCTGAAATCAAGTATTCTACTATAGAGAAATTAATATTAACCTTAATAAATTTGACTAAGAGATTGAGGCACTATTTCTAAAGCTATTCAATAATAGTCAAACCCGATTATTCTATAAAACAAATATTACAAAGATCATAATTAGCAAGAAGGATGATAGCATGGACAGTAGAATTGTCCAAATTTGATATATCTTATGAAAGTGAGGACCAACGAAGACACAATTTTTAGCCGACTTTCTACTAGAACTTCATCCTCAAGAGAAAAAAAATTAATTAGTGAATTTTATATGTTGATGGTCCCTCAAATAAGAGAGGAAGCGGAGTGAGGATTATTCTAGAAAGCCCAATGATATTATGCTTGAGCAAGCTTTACGTTTTGAATTTAAAGCTTCCTATAATCAAGTTGAGTATGAAGTCTTAATTGTTGGATTAAGGTTAACTAAATAAATAGGGGTAAAAAGTCTTCACTGTAAATGTGATTCCAAGCTAATAACAAGATAAATAAGTAAAGAATTTCAAGCTAAAGAAGCTTCTATACAAAATTATTATCAAATAACCAAAGTTTTGATAGAAACTTTTGATCAATTCAAAATAGAACTTATACATCGAGAGCAAAATGACCGAGCCGATATCCTTTCAAAGCTTGCTAGTACAAAGAAGTTGGGATAACACAAAACATTATTACAGGAAACACTAAGAACACCCAGTTGGGATTATAATAATATATTCTATATTGATCCAACTAAGTCAACATGGATGAGTCCTATAATCAATTATTTTAAAAAAGGAATACCTCTAAGCAACCGGGAAGAATCTCGAAAAATGAGAAGAACATTTACATTATTCGTTTTACTTAACGAGGATTTTCAACACCTCTTCTTAAAAGCTTGGATGAAGACCAAGTGAAATATGTAATGAATGAATTACATAATCGAATATGTGGAGTACATTCAGGAGCAAGGAGTATGACAACAAGGATTCTTCGAGCAGGATATTATTGGCCAACTATAAAACAAGATGATAGAGAATTTCGTAAAAAAATGTTAAGCCTACCAAAAGTATGGACCAGTATTTAAGGCGCCTTCAGAAGAACTTCATAGTACTTTATCTGTGTAGTCGTTTGTTTGATGTGGAATTGACATACTAGATCCTATTCTTATTGTTAAAGGACAAGTGAAATTTCTTATTGTAGCAATAGATTATTTCACTAAATAGATTGAGACAGAACCTTTAGCTACGATTGTAACATTACAAGTTCAAAAGTTTATATGCAAGAATATTATTTGTAGACATGAAATCCCTCGTACCATAATTATAGGTAATGGAAAACAATTTATTGATAAAAATTTAGAACAATTTTTAGAGGGATTAACAGTGAAACATTTGGTAAGCTCGATAGAACATTCACAAATAAATGGTCAGTAAAAGCCGCCAATAAAGTCATTTTAAACGATCTTAAACATAAACTCGGATAAGTAAAAGGATGTTGGGTAGAAGAAATATCGAGTATATTATGGGGATATCATTGTACTCCCCAATCCTCGACACAAAAAACACCTTTTCGGTTAACTTATGATGTTGATGCTATGATACCAATCGAAATAGGAGAAGAATCATGGAGAAAGAGAAATTATGATGAAAAAGTAATGATGAAAATATTTGAATAGGAATTAGACCTGGTTGATGAGGTAAGAAAGTTATCCCATGTTCGAGAAGAAGCTATCAAATGACAAGTTGAAAGAAAGTATAACATAAAATTTAAAGAAATGACTTTTCAAAAAGGATACCTAGTATGGACAAAGGTCGATGAAGCTCAAAAAGATCGAATAGAAGGATGATTGGTTACTAATTAGGATGGTCCATATCAAATAATAGATTTCTTACAAATGCTTCCACCATACCGATATGTAATTACATCAATCTAATATGAGATGGTCAAGCTTCAAATGATTCCATCATATTGATCTGTAATTACATCGATATAAGATGAGATGGTCAAGCTTCAAATACTTCGGTAGTACCGATCTATAGTTCTATTGATCTAAAGTGAGATGGTCAAGTTTCAAATGCTTCCATAATATCGATATGTAATTACATTGATATAAGATAAGGGTCCTTCATCTATTAATTGTCCATCAACTACAGACTTCTTAGGACCAAAATAAATTGACATTGATTCCCAAACTTATAATGATAGCTTGCTCCATTGCCTTATAGAAATCATCTTCGTACAATTCAACTAATTGTTGTTCGACAACTCGGAGCTCAACGATTTGTTTCTCGTAATATTTTTAAAGCTTGGAATATTTGAGCTTAGCAATTTGTAGTTCTTGTAGTAACAGGACC